CTCAAAATATACTAGAATTAATTCTAGAACTGAAAATTAACGCTAGAACTTAAAATAACACTATAACTAATTCTAAAACTGAAAATTAATGCTAGAACTGAAAATTAATGCTAGACCTGAAAATTAATGCTAGAACTGAAAATAATACTAGAACTAATTCTAGAACTGAAAATTAGCGCTAGAACTGAAACTAACACTAGAACTAATTCTAGAACTGAAAATTAGCGCTAGAACTGAAACTAACACTAGAACTAATTCTAGAGCTGAAAACAAATGCTAGACTCTAGGGCTAATGCTAGAACTTCAATCTAGTATTAGAACTGAATACTAACACTACAACTGCAAACTAACTCTAGAAAAAGTGCTAGAACTGAAAACTAGTGCAAGAACTGAAAATAGCACTAGAACCTAATGCTAAAACTGAAAAAGAGTGCTAGAAGTGAAGACCTGATACTAGGACTTAAAACTAACTAGAATTAATGCTGTAACTGGAAACTAATACTAGAATTAGCACCCAACACTGAAACTGATAACTAATGCTAGAACATCTAACAGTAGAACTGAAAACACTCTTCAGAATTGAATACTGTTCTGAACTGTGTACATTTTTCCTTATGCAAAACATGAATACAGGACAGATGTATTTATATACACATCAGAAGATTTCCAGGTAATGTTTTAATATTATCTTCAACACTCAGATTCATGTTCACAGTGTCTCTCAGTATGAAGAGCTGGTTTTATCTAAATAATGATTTGGCAGTTTTCTTTTCCAAACTGTTGTTAGAAGCACATATTAAAACTCTTTTGGTCCAGACGTGGTTTTAACAGCTGAAAGGTTTGAGTGTTGATGAGCGCTGACATCACAACACAGGGATACAGTGTGGACTTTATTCTCAAAGTAGCACTGTCACTGATATTTATACGTGCGATATTGTTTTCCTGTAAATAAACATTAAAACGTGAAGTTATTGCAGATGGGCAAATAACCTGTGGTCATTTATAGATTTATAGTAAAACACCGAAAATGTGTTCCCAAAAAGGTGTTCCCAAACTTTTGACAGGCCGTGTCAAAGAGTTTGTTTTGTGACCTTGAGATGCTGCTGATGTAGCGCAGCGTGAGTTGTGGTGTGTTGAGTGGTGGGAGGTTTGTGAGGGACTTTGACTTTGCTTACACTTAAGAGTCACTTTTCATGTTTCAAAGAAAAAAGCAACTAATATTGAAAATAAAACACATTCAAGGTTCCACAGTACAAGCCTCTATGCTCAAATCTGATTTTTTGCTCAGATCCGATCTCTCTGACATGATGGTTCATTTAGGTAAGTGACTCAAATCTGTCATTAATGTGAACGAACCGGCTTGAACTGACACTAACACTAGAACTAATTCTAGAACTGAAAATGAGTGCTAGAACTAAAGGCTAATGCTGGAACTGAAACTCACACTAGAATCAGTTCTAGAACTAATAATGAATGCTAGAACTAAAGGCTAATGCTAGAACTGAAACTAACACTAGAACAAATTAGAACGGAAAATGAGTGCTAGAACTGAAGGCTAATGCTAGAACTGAAACTAACACTAGAACAAATTCTAGAACTGAAAACGAGTGCTTGAACTGTAGGCCAATGCTAGAACTGAAACTAACACTAGAACAAATTAGAACGGAAAATGAGTGCTAGAACTGAAGGCTAATGCTAGAACTGAAACTAACACTAGAACAAATTCTAGAACTGAAAACGAGTGCTTGAACTGTAGGCCAATGCTAGAACTGAAACTAACACTAGAATCAGTTCTAGAACTAAAACGAGTGCTACAACTAAAAGCTAATGCTAGAACTGAAAATAATACTAGAACAAATTCTAGAACGGAAAATGAGTGCTAGAACTGAAGGCTAATGCTAGAACTGAAACTAACACTAGAACAAATTCTAGAACTGAAAACGAGTGCTGGAACTGTAGGCTAATGCTAGAACTGAAACTAACACTAGAACAAATTCTAGAATGGAAAATGAGTGCTAGAACTGAAGGCTAATGCTAGAACTGAAACTAACACTAGAACAAATTCTAGAACTGAAAACGAGTGCTGGAACTGAAGGCTAATGCTAGAACTGAAACTAACACTAGAACAAATTCTAGAACTGAAAACGAGTGCTAGAACTGAAGGCTAATGCTAGAACTGAAAATAATACTAGAACAAATTCTAGAACTGAAAACGAGTGCTAGAACTGAAGGCTAATGCTAGAACTGAAACTAACACTAGAACACATTCTAGTGTGAATCTCTCACACCAGACAAACAGAACCTCCTTTTAGGTACGTAATGTCACTTTCCTTGCAGTAGTAACGCCACCCGGCCTGTCGCTAGAACGTGGACGTGTGAGAATGCTCTGTTATAACGAACATTTATCGAACATTTCTTGTAGCTCTATCGAGGAAAGTTATATCGCGATACTTATCGTTTTATCGCCCAGCCCTACCATATCCTAAAGTCAAGAACAATTTTAAAATGAGTGCAAACCAATTGAACCATTCAAGATTATTGTAGTGACAAACACACATGTATATTGGTGTGTATGGTGGTCTGTATGGATGTGTGTAAATGCTGTGTGTTGGTGTGTGTTATTACACAAATGCACACACATATCAAGCTGTGTGTTGGCCGCAGCAGAGCGCAATCCTAAAAGTTAGAGTTAAATACGTACATACACTCGGAGAATGATAGTTATCTTCAGACTCAAAAAACTGATTAAAAGCTACAGAGAAAATGGGGGTCCTAACAACCACCTGGAAGACCTGGTAGACTCCAAAACTGCCCCCATCAGATAAACAGCACTTAAAGCTTTCATCTCTGAGAGAGAGGAGAAAATCAAGCTGCTTCAGATCTGAAAACATCCACAGGTGTTTCTGTCCATCCTTCCACTGTGAGAAGACGACTCAGCGCTGTGGGTCTGAAAGGATGTGTAGCTGTCAAGAAGAACCTCACTGAGGAAAGGAGACGGACACATCAAACAAAGAAGCTGAACGATGGACTGACCACCCCAGAGTCCAGACCTCAACACCACTGAATGTGTTTGATTACTTCAGAAAATGATCAACCAGCTTCTAAGACTGAACTTTGGAGGCGTGTCTGCAGATTCTTTGAGGAGCTGAAAGTGAGGCTCCTGAAAAAAAAGGAAAAATACTGAAACTTTTGATATTATATTTAGTTATTGAGGCTTCTGTGTAATTTTATGTTAAAAATTTTCCTGCTTTTTTCTGATGCTAAAAAATGAATAACTTGTATTTGATAACCATTTTGTCTGGAAAATAAATAAATGAAGGGGCTCTGAATCTTTAACAGTACTGTAACAGTGTATGACCACAGCACCCGTGAAATCAGATCATTCTTACTTCAAGCTATATCTACAATCATATCATACTACCTTTAATACACTCGGCTGAGTAACTGTCCTGGAGCGATGAGTGGTGCGAGTGAGAGACAGGTGTGTGGAGGGAGAGAGCCAAACCTGCACCAGAGTGAAGACGCTCTCTCACTCACGCAAACAAAAGGAGCAGGCTCTGCATAGGGTGCATACTGCCCTCTGTTGGCTGAACAGAGTTACTGCCAACAGCTCTTCACCATTCAAAATCAAACACACACACACACATTTTCTATGCCGCTTCTCCGTCAGCGTCATGAGGGGAGCTGGAGCCTCTCCCAGCTGTCATTTGGTGGAAACATTCAAAATGAGAAAATTATTAATCTTTCAGTACATCATGTGATCAAAACATGCATCAGTGCGTTGATTGTTTGTTTGTGTAAGTGCAGCTAATTAACAATTGTTAGGGATGCAAAAAAACTGAAACAATGTGGCTGGAAAATAACCTGAAACAGCTCCGCTACAGAGTGTAAAAATCCAACGCTTACTATTATAATAGTAATCCTGCGCGTCTGATGCTGTTGCTTCTTCTGCCTTGATCGGGTGCCCGCTGCTTGCCAGCCTTCTGGACTGGCTTGACCACCATTGAGCTTCATGCTGTACAACGCTGTGCAAACCTCACCCCCATGAACTGACCCTCCTGATGATGCTGCTGCTGCATAAACTAAAACTAATCTAATTAACCACTGCTCTGCCTGTTTTGTACTACAATACTAACACTGTTTGTTATCCAGTGTCAACCAGAGGAGGATGGGTTCCCCTTTTGAGGCTTTGGTTGCTCTCAGTGTTTCTTCCTCTTGCTCTTAGGGAGTTTTTCCTTGCCACTGTTGCCACGACGCTCATGGGGGCTCAGACCCGGATTTTCCTGTAAAGCTGCTTTGTGACCACACCTGTTGTAAAAAGCGCTACATAAATAAACTTTGACTTGACTTGACTTGACTAATGAAAATCAGACATAATATTGCTTTGTTTACTGTTTCAGTTTCAGCCAAGAATTTTGAATTTGGTGCATCGCAGCAAAAACACAGTACAAACAGAACATATGTTGTACTATACTATGTTTTGTACTATGTACTATATTTTAATTGTGTATATCGAAGGTGTTTTGTGGGAAGTTGCTCAGATGAAATGAGGCTTCATAACAAAAAACCCAGAGCAGGGAAACTTTATTCAGATTAAGCTGTACATTAAGCAAAAACACAACTAGCTGAGATAGGGCCAGAATGCCCGGTGTGTCTGACTACCTGTCAGATGCATACAGACTGTAGTACATCCAGTATATCACTGTTGTCGGGACAAAACACTGTATCTCCAAATTGTAACGTTACTGGAGAAAGAAAAAAAAATTACTTTTAATGTAATGGAGCCGGACTTTTTTTTTTAAGTAATTTTGGGCCGTTTCTTTTGGTCCATTCATCATGAAATTTACACACAATGTAAAAGTCATCAGGTATTTTCAAACTATGAATATGTACATATATGTGTGTCTCAAACACTCATCTGTGTACTGTTTGACTCCTCACATATCTAGAAGTGTTTTTTCTTTTCTAACATGCTCTCTCTTCTCTCTCTCTCTGTGCAGAGGAAGGAAAGAAGAAGAAGCCGGTGCGTCTGGCCATCCAGAGGAGCGTGGAGACGGGCTTGGCCATCGAGATGAAGAGCAGGATGACTAGACAGCCCAGCAGAGAGACGGCCGAGGAGGGAGAGAAGCCCAAGCCTGGAAAGTAAGCATTAACTTCTTTCACTGCTTCTGGGCTCTCTGCTGCTCATCCACAGTAATATTGTTATGGGTTAATACTGTTTATATTACATTATATGCTTTTAAATGACCTTATTTTGTCATCACGATGTTATTGTTGATATCAGATGATATTTTGTTTACAGTGTATTAATTAACTCATAGCTGATCAGCAGACATACTTGTAACTTTGCGCTAAACAGCAGTGTTTTTAACCTGTAGATACACAAACAAGCTGATTTGTTTCAAAGCTTTTGTAAAAATATGCCCCTTTTTCGTGCACTTCGTTTTCAAAAAATGCAGTTCAGGCAGGATTCGTTTTAAACGGGGAGGTGGGGTAACGTACAGACAGCCGCTGGACGGCTGTAATGTTTATGACGGATTCGTGTAGGATAAGAAATCTCAGTGTATATTACAGAGATGGGAGTGTCTACTCATCTTACGCATGGCACTACGTTCAGCCGCAAGTAGAAAACATGTCTGAGTGTTTGTCTTAAGTGAATGCAGTGTGTCTTTAGCATTGTAATTAGCTTAAGGATTTACCAACTGTTAATATTGGTGCACAAAATCACATTTTTATGTCATTTCTAACATTTAAAAAGATGTACCCCTGGTAGTGCACAGGTAGGACAGCATATATCAGGATTAATATAACACAGGATTAATATAACCTGGAGATAATTCTACAGTTCATTTTATAGCACAAGATTAATATAACCTGGGTTGATTTGTACAGTTTGTTTTATAGTGCAGAATTAATAAACCTGTGGTTATGTCCATGGTTTGTTTTGTAGCGTGGGATAAATATAACCAGGGGTCATTTCTACAGCTTGTTTGTAACAGGATTACTATAATGTGGGTGTAATGTTGGAGGCGATGAGGCTGGATGTAAGTGTGAGTTGCTTTTATTTAGACCCGATTTAACTGAAACTGATCAGCAGAGGTACGTAGAGCAGACATGTCCATGAGGAGGAGAACAGAACTAAACTAGAACCAAAAACCTAAAAACAAGACCAGTAAAAACAGGCAACAGCAACAGGGTCACATAGACAATGCAAGGTAAAGGGACCGAGCAAACACAGGGTATAAATACACTGAGGGGAGACAAGGAACACCCGTAGAGTTCAGTCCCAGTAGAACCTAAGAGTTTTTTTCTGCTTGCTCCACAGTCTCATCTTTCCCGGTGTAAAGATCTCCACAGACAGCCAGTTCACAGAGTTTTTGGATGGCTTAGGCCCCGCCCAGCTTGCCGGGAGACAGACGCTGGCCACGCCTCCAATGGGTAAAACACTATGATTCTTTTTCACTGTTGGCCCTCCCTTCTAGTTTGGTCCACAACAGCAGCCTAATGGAACCCTGATTATTGTATCAGTCCTTACCAAGAGCACTTTACCAAGTGACAAACAGGCTCTAAGGGTTTAACTGTGTCTTCTCTCCCTCACAGGTGACATCCAGATTGGGATGGTGCACAGAAAGGAGCGGCTGGATGTGGAGGTGATTCGGGCCAGAGGTCTGGTGGGCAAACCAGGAAACAAGCAGACTCCAGGTGATTGTCTAACTTAGGGCATTCAAAATTCAAAAATGTCTATAAAATGTCTATCAAGTGTGTTTCTGTTGGTGATGGCTCTGTAATGAGATGCTGATTCAGCGATGCACATGCAGAACAGCACATCTAAGTTTATCATACTGGCATTGTACGTTTTTTACAGCACCCTATGTTAAAGTCTACTTACTGGATAACGGGAAATGTATCAACAAAAAGAAGACGCGGCTGGCGAGGAAAACGCTGGATCCTCTGTACCAGCAGCAGCTGCAGTTTGAGGAGAACCCAGAGGGAAAAGTCTTACAGGTAACACAAACATACACAAGTCATAGGCAGACATGAGTGGTACATTAACCCTCTGGGGTCCACAAACTCACCCACAAGCGAGAATCACTTTCCTGAATCTGTAGAGTCGCCCTTTCCACTCCATCTTATCACGAGATCATACGAGACTCACATCCGGAGTTATGAGCCTATGAAGAGGGGCTGAGATACACGTCATCTGCCTCTCACCGTGTGGAACTGGTGGATTCGTGTGTCCGTCTACATTCTGTGTGAAACTGACCAATGGACACTCAGGAAATCACTAAGGACTGACCATCACGCCGGAAACCCTTCATTCTTCATTCGGTCCACATCGGAGACTCATGTGAAACGGCGTGCAGAGAGTTTACAGCTGCTGAAGTTGCTGCAGCGGTTTTGGAAAGTAGTGATGAAGATAACGGAGCATTTAGATATGAAACATATGAGCATCATGTTATATGAAGAGCCTTTAAAGGAGAGTTTAGGAAGAGATGAACAAATCGAGAAAATGACCTCAGACCACAGAGAGTCAAATATAAACTAATGCTTTCTCAGTAAAAGAGCAGCATTAATGGATAAAGAGAAAAAGGGAGGGGCCATCCAGCTGAATAATTAGGCAAAGCAGTAAGAATTGATTATTATTAATACATCATTTTAAGCATCACATATTTGTATTGTTGTTTGAAATTAATTTCTCCCTTTTACAGATCCCCAGTAGCTGTTGATGCTAACCACACATGCTGAAATACGAACAGCATTTCAGGTGTCAGTCTCTGCGTCCAAATTTCCTTATGAGTCCTCGCAGATAGTCTGTAAAAGTCAACAAAGCAGGAAAAGTCGGATTGATCTGGAGATTTTCCTCTTTCATTGGTCGTGACAGTCCATCAGGCATTTGGCCTGTAACACAAAGCAAACTTGAGTTTGAAACCCATTTGTTTGATGCAGAACTCCATTGCAAACACATGCAGTCCCAGCCATCGTAAGCTCGTTCAAAGTGCTCAGTCCATCAGATCCCTGATAAACTGAGTGTCCAAACATATTAAAAGAAGATGAAGCGACTGAACAACAAACTCAGCCCAGTCAGGCAAATATATGACCAAGTGGCGTCTACAAAAGCTGCAGCTCAGTTTACAATAACTTAATTCAAAGTCCAATTCAGTTCTTAAACCACTTTTAAATGACCAGTGACCAAGTTATTTTAGGGTTTAGTTTATGTTCTTAATTTTATGCTTTTGCTTGTCATGTTTGATGCATTTCACACTGCAAAAAATGGAATCTTGTTGAGTGAAATGATCTTAAATCTAGTCGATATCTCTAATATTTCCCATTTTGAGATGGTTGTGCACTTATAAGATTATTTTTATTTATTTTAGGTCATTTTATCAAATAAAATCTCTCACTGTACTGGCAGATAATTTTGCTGCCCAATGATCTGCCAATATAGTGAGATAATTTTACTTCATAAAATCACTTAAAACAAGTAAAAATAGTCTTAAATTAAGCTAACAATAACCTCAGCAGGAGAAATATTAGACTTGTTGACTATATTTAAGATAATTTTACTTGACAAGATACGATTTTTTAAGAACTATGGGTCTCATTCTCCAGTATCTTCCTAAGTTTGTTCTTAAACGTGTTCTTGAGAAAGGTCCTAAGAAAAAGTCTGTCAGATTCACCCCCTCCTCTGCAAACATGGTGTTTTAAAAGATTAGATCAGATTAGATTAGACCAAGATTAGGTTTCTGCACTGTTTCAGTGAGAAATGATTCATGCATAATTACAGCTTGATTTCATTATTCCACAGGGGCTTCAAAGGGATAATATAAACACTCTTTGATCAGACAGCTTCACGTCTGTAACGCTCCGTCTCCTTGTTTTCCAGATCATCGTGTGGGGCGACTACGGACGCATGGACCACAAGTCCTTCATGGGCGCCGCCCAGATCCTTCTAGACGATTTAGAGCTCACCAACATGGTGATCGGCTGGTATAAGCTCTTTCCTCCCACCTCGCTGGTGGACCCCACTCTGGCCCCTTTGAGCAGTAAGCCCCCGGAGGGCGCCGTGGAGAGCTCCAACGTTCGCTCGTAGCAGCGGCAAGGCCAGACTAGCGGTCAGCAGCGGGAAGACTGAGACAGAGGGGAGGAATCAGGGCTGGACGCTCCGCGCCCTGCGTCCACTGCATGCTTCATGTTGCGTCCTCTGAGCCCCGTGGGACGGGAGGCTGAGAAAAAGGCCTGCGTTCCTTCTGCCAAAAGAGAAACGAGAAAAGAGACGAGAAAAAGGGAAACACTGTATCCGTCACATGGGGGAGACGCTGGAGCCCGACGTCCGCGCGCAAAGCAGCGGGGCGTCCGGCCAGAGGGCTTCGGTGGAGCTCAGAGGTGGATGACCACATGGATGTCGAGAAGGGGAGCTACACAGATCTGATGCTCTACAGAATGAGTTCTACAGAAGCCCTGTTTTTTGGGGGGGGTAAAAAAAAGGGGGGCTGTTTGTATTCGAAGGGATGTCAGTGTTCTTAACCCAGAGCTTTTTTCTTTGGTAAGTTTGAGCCGTGCCTGCAAGCCAAGCTCTGAAAACGAGGACAAACACACAAAAAAAAGCCATGTGGATGGACCACCAGCAGCTGGCTGAGGTTGGCTGGCAGTCAGAGAAAAGAGGAGCGCCTGGAAGAAAAGATCAGAAGTACTGTACTTATTTCAAGTCGAGCCACATCAGACGAAATGATGTTCCACGTCCACCGACGACAGTATGAATATCGCCACAGTTTCCCATTTTGATAAAGAAAAAAAAAGAAAAGAGAAAATCTGAAAACGTAACAGGACTTTTTCGTGCTCCGGTATGACGCTCGTTTTGGTGATGTACTGTATGAAATTCATGAAAGAATTTTATTTCATTTTTTTGTTTTTTTGCATGGATGCAGAGTTAGCTGTACTGAAAAAAAAAACGAAAGATTATTTTCATCAAGGCTGCAACTTGCAAAAAAAAGGGAGAAAAAAAGGAGTAAAAAATGAACAGATCAGCCATTTTCGACAGTTTATATTATTTTAATATAAAATTCTCTAGTGCATGGTTTTCAAGGAGAGTGAATGCAACAAACATAAAGATGTGATTGTCATCATTAGATCATGCTTCTGTATTTTTACAGATATCAGTTGCAGTGTGGCCTGGGGAACCTTCCTGTCTCGTGAAAAAAAAGAGAAAAAAATAACAAAAGAGACGAGTAAGGGGTCTCAGATAAACGGACTGAAACTATCCGTTTCCATCCGAAGGCGTAAGCACGCCTTACATCCGTCATTATGTGCAAATTGTACATCTCTCTCTCTGTCTGGTGGTGGAGAGAGGCTGCCATGCTGATTGTGTCCACTGGGGGGCGCTGCAGAGCTGTAGCTTATTTTACAGCTTTGTTTTCAGGCCCGTTTCTCCACTCATTCATCCAAACCAGGCATGTTGAATAGAAGTCTGCGACATGGCTCGAGCCACACCCTCCCCGAACTTCAGCATGTCTCTGAATGGACAGAGTGGTGTGGTTTTGTGCGGTTTTTCGTGTACAGTGCATGTGGACCCTCATTCTTACCGAAGCCCGGTCAGCGCAGGGCTTCATGGCCAACGGTTCAGAAATTCAGCAAAACATTCCACCTCCTGTTTCCTTTCAGATCAAAAATAAAAAAACAAACAAACGTGGGGAAACAATAAAAGATAATTTTATATTTAACGGAGGTCGACTAGGAGAAAACAAATATGTAAGGTTGCAAGTATATTTTATTTTGATATTGTTATAAAGAAAGATAAAAGAAAAAAAAAAACAGGGCCCATTGGATGGTGCAGTATGTGGACTCTGGAGACCCGACTTGAGCTCGTTGTGAGTTTTAACACAACACACACTGGAACGAGTGGAACGAGTGGAACACACTGGTCTGTGGAAACGGAGAGAATTGCCACAATATGAATTTTTAATTGTTTTCTTGTTTTGAGAAAATAAAGTTCATTTACTATCTGCAGTGTCTTTCTTGCCTCGTGCAACAGGACTAAAATATTCATCTCCTTATTCAAACAGACCTACCTTGTGTTTCCAATCATTGGCCACTTCATTAGAAACACCCTCCTTGTACTTCCACTAACTGGCCACTTTATTAGAAACATCTACCTTGTATTTCCAATCATTGGACACTTTATTAGAAACACCTGCCTTGTGTTTCCATTCACTGGCCACTTCATTAGAAACACCCACCTTGTACTTCCACTAACTGGCCACTTTGTTAGAAACACCTACCTTGTGTTTCCACTAACTGGCCACTTTATTAGAAACACCTACCTTGTACTTCCACTAACTGGCCACTTTATTAGAAACACCTACCTTGTACTTCCACTAACTGGCCACTTTATTAGAAACACCTACCTTGTACTTCCAATCATTGGCCACTTTATTAGAAACACCTGCCTTGTGTTTCCATTCACTGGCCACTTTATTAGAAACACCCACCTTGTACTTCCACTAACTGGCCACTTTATTAGAAACACCTACCTTGTGTTTCCATTCACTGGCCACTTTATTAGAAACACCTACCTTGTACTTCCACTAACTGGCCACTTTATTAGAAACACCTGCCTTGTACTTCCAATCATTGGCCACTTTATTAGAAACACCTCCCTTGTGTTTCCATTCACTGGCCACTTTATTAGAAACACCCACCTTGTACTTCCACTAACTGGCCACTTTATTAGAAACATCTACCTTGTGTTTTCACTCACTGGCCACTTTATTAGAAACACCCACCTTGAGCTTTTACTAACCGGCCACTTTATTAGAAACACCTGCCTTGAGCTTCCACTAACTGGCCACTTTATTAGAATCACCTGCCTTGTGTTTCCACTCACTGGCCACTCTAAGGAAGAAACACCTTTCTACACAGTGTATCAGCCCCTCTACCTCATTCATCACCGGTCAGTTTCTGACCACAGGGCTGCTGTTGTCCAGATGTTATGTGGGTGGTGGTTCATTCTCAGCACAGCAGTGACTCTGATATGGTAGGGTGTGGTGGTGGTACGAGTGTATCAGACACAGCGGTGCTGCTGGAAGATGGAGAACTCAAACATCAACAGATGAGCTACAGAATCTAATTGTACTCCAGAAAGGTGGCGCTACAGGGAGCTGATTTGATTGATACAGGTCTGAAAAGGCTTTCTTGACTCAAAAGTTTTTCACACTGAAATCTGGTCAAGCTGCTCTTCCAGAGTAACTAAGAGCCTGTTTACACCTTTCATTGACATGTATTTCATGTCTGGATCATATCCGGATTTTCTTTTTCCATTTACACTTTTCACTAAAACGCACACCCAGTGTGGCCAGATGAAACGTGATCGGACTTTTCCCATATAAATAGCTCATCGACACTTACGCAGTTAAAAAAAGAAGTCAATTTTGCTTTTATTTATTAATTGATTTATTAGTTCACTTTTTATTTACTTTTAATTTTTGTTACCTTTTTTCAGCGATGCGCTGAAGGTGTAAACAGGCCCGGTCAGTATCTGAGAGAGAGCAGCTGTGTTTTATCACTGTATATGAAGTGCTCTGATAACACCTCATGTGTCAGTAATAGACCAGGCGGTGGACTTTAATAGAAAAAGCAGAAGTGTGACCAGCCTGAACTGAGCCTGAGGAAAGTCTTCAGCACTCACATTCAGTTACCCAGGACCCTTAAAGGACACACAGGTAAGTACTCGTGTTTTTGTGTCTCAGATGAGCTGAAATCAGTCACTATCGAGCTGAAATTAATGTTAAAAATGAGCTCCATCTGATGGAATCTACATTTTGCAGCTGTTTATCTGCAACGTTGTTTAAGATGAGCTGATCACTGAGGATGTCTTTAAGTTAACAGTGGCTCTGGCTTCAGTTCAGAATCAGGATGGTTTTTGTTTATTCGCCCCAGTACATGACGAATAGGGGATTTTTCTTATGGTCAATATAAATTCCAACTCATGCAGTCTTATGCAAAAGTTTGAGCCGTCAAATTCCATGTTGTTACTGATTTTCACTCACTTTGGTGTTGCAAGCTGAGCTGAGGTCCACAAACGGAACTCTAATGTAGGTAAGAGGACTGCTGAGATGCTGTAGCATGAAGTGCAGACCTGTTAGCTCTGTATGTGAACTGGGGGGTCCAGCAAAGGGCTTGTAATGGCCTTCAGGTGGACTAGAACCAGCTGTTCTAAGGCAAGGCAAGTTTATTTATATGGCACATTTCATACACAAAGGCAATTTGAGTGCTTAAGAATGAAAAACAGATAAAGGTTTTAAATAATATTAAAAAATAAACCTAATGGCATCCTAAGACCTCAGAAAGGCATTTGCAAAGATAGTTGCAAAAAATAGATAAAGATAAAGACAATAAAATAGAGAGGAACATTTTACATTAAGGGTCACAAATTAATTAGTAAGTATAAGCTAATAGCTAATTGAATACTTATTATTTATATATTGATTAGCTGGTTATTGAAGAATAGTTAGTGATATAACAATCGTACTTAGTAATTGAGTACACGGTTAACTCATAGTTTAGTTTGTCCTTAGTTGACAGCTTAATTACGCATTAGCTGTGTACTAAGTGCTGCTTATTAAACTGATAATGAACTGATAAGTGTGTTTACTCATATAAATAATGAAAATGTTTCCTAAGGAACCCCTGAAGAACCGTCTTGTTTGAGGGTGTACGCTGGCTGAGCGCTGGGTGATTCTGGCCCCCATACTCTTAAAAGCAGAGTCTGCATGACCACACAAACCAAACTTCCTCTCTGCTCTCGGTTTGAAACACACAGTGACCAGCTGAAGGCTGCACGAGGGGCACTGAGTGATCTTATCTCCTGCAGTGTGCATGCAGGGTTAGGCACTGACTTGTGAAACAGCACAGGCAGCGAGGCATCGAGACAGCAGCTGCCTTCAGTTTCAGACACGCCCATCCTCTGGTTTCTGGTGTAGGAGAAACAGCGACCACACATTTCCTCATATTTAAATGGTTCAGGTGTAAACAGTGTCATTTAGAGTGGTTTAGTGTTCTAGAGAAACTTACCGAGTCAGAATTGTTCACAGTGGTGGTGATAGGAACCAGACGTCCACCTCTAAAAGCTCCCTCACAGAGAGTCACTACATGAAATGGTGATGAATTCACTGCCTGATGTCTGAGACATTGATAAGATTTGGGCCTTAAATGTATATTTTTTACATCAGTTTATGGTGGAGGGATACATGAAGGGTTGTTGTGAGGCAAAATAATCAATCAGTTATATTTTACTTTGTTAAGATTTTTTTTTTGTACACTGCAAACAATTACTGGCTACTAGTTGTATTAATTTCACAGTAATTTACCGTAACATGTCAACAGTAAATAACCGTAAAATCACATCTGTATATTGGGACTTCGTATTTAAGTGTGTTCTCCGTACAGGATGTGTTAACCCCTTGAAATCCAGGCTCATTGCATTATTGTGCAGCAACTACATGGACTACAATGCAAACTGGAGTTATTTTTAGGTTATAGAAGTGTGTGGTAAAACTTTGGAACCACTGGTGCATCTTGGCCATTTGAGGGGTTAACTTATTTTCACTTAGAAAAACATGGGGGGTTAAATTTTTGCATACAATTGTATATTTTGTGGGTTCATAACTGAGAAAGGTTTAGTGAAAGTCCTGTTTCCCCCTTTTCTGGGGGTAGGAGCCCCTAGAATAAGATGTGCCCTCTCTTATTGTCTCTCCAGAGGGAGCCAGTCCTAATCCAACACAGTTACTGACCGGCTATGCTGAAATTCTCTGGGGTCACTTGATCAGTTTTTTTTTTGTCATTAAATAAAAGTGATTGATCAGTTTAACCCAATGACAAAAAAAAACCTTCCCCTACAGAGAACCCACTCAAATATGGCATTGTTCTGCAAATTTTAGTGTGCAATTTCTATTTATCTGCTGAGTTTGACATTCTGGGAAAAATGAAATATAAAATGTACAATAACTTTTGCACAGGCCACTTTTCATGTTACATTCAGTAAATAAACAGTAATTGTGCTCTCTGTGGAGGATGTGTTCACTTATTTACACTCATCAACAACAACAAGGAATTTGACCAGGGGCACCCAAACGTTTGCACACGACTGTATAAAGAGGAAACTGAGAAATGTAAACTGAGTGGTGTTGTTTTTTCCGTTGGTGTACATTTTGTACATCCAGGGAAACGTGGTGTTAACTTTAAATGTAGATAGTAATAATTATATTAATATTAATAATATTTTGATAATTATATAATCCCATTTCCAAAAAAGTTGGGATGCTGTGCAAAATGTAAATAAAAACAAAATGCAATGATGTGCAAATCATTTAAACCCTATATTTCAATGAAAATAGTACAAAGCCAACAAATCAGATGTTCAAATTTTGAATTTGATGCCAACAACATGTTCCAAAAAAGTTAGGATGGGGAAACAAAAGGCTGGTAAAGGTGTGTAATGTTAAAAAAACACCAGGTGGTTAATTGACAAAGAGCATCTCAGAGAGGCGGAGTCTTTCAGGAGTAAAGATGAGGAGGGGTTCACCACTCTGTGAAAGACTGCACCATCAAATAGTGCAACAATTCAAGAAAAACATTTCTCAACGTAAAATACCAAAGAACTTTTGCTTTTCATCATCTACAGTACATAATATCATTAAAAGATTCAGAGAATCTGGAGAAATCTCTGTATGTGAGGGACAAGGCTGAAAACCAGTGTTTGCTGGCTGTGATGATTGGACCCTCAGACAGCACTGCATTAGAAACAGACATGATTCTGTAGTGGAAATCACTGCATGGGCTCAGAAACACTTCTGAAAACCACTGTCTGTGAAAACAGTTCATCACTGCATCCACAACTGCAAGTTAAAACTCTACATTGCAAAGAAGAAACCATATATAAACAGGATGCAGAAATGCTGCCACCTTCTCTGGGCCCGAGTTCATTAAAAATGGACTGAGGGGAAGT